GCTGCAGACACAGGGCTTGAGAAAGTAAGCAACCGCAACAGAGTAAGTCCCCACATCACAAAGGCGTTCTGTTGAATTTAGGGGAAATTTGAACTTTTGGGAGAGTCAAGGCGAGGTGGAAAAGCCAGTAGCAATTGTGTTTTTAGAGGCAGACGTTATCAGGACATTGGGTAGTGTCTGAGGAGAAGGGCTGGGCCAGTGGTTAAGTCCTATGGAAAGATCTAGGTGAGGTTAAGACCTGGAATAAACTTAGGGAACTCTATTCTCCCTGTCAATAGTGACGAAATCCTACAAAACTTGCCTCTTGGGTACTGAGACCATAGGGGCTATGCTAACACTAGAGCTGCATGAACTACATGTATGACACGGACCTTTATTTCCTTATTCCCAGTGAAATCCCTCACACCATTCCTCATACATAAAACCACATGCAATCCTAGCCGCAATAGGTTACATTTAAACACTTTAGAAATCTTTGCCTGAAGACACCCAAGAGATCAACTGAAACTTTTAAAAGTATAGCGCTTTCTCTATATACTTCAATGTGACTAAAAACAGCCTCGCTTGTTTAAAAACAATTAGGTTGTGCAATCATTTGGCTCCATTGCTTTTGAAATACAGGATGCTGGGCTACATGAGGGGCAGGATGATTTTGAGCTCTAACTGGTCAAATCAAGGAACATCGTTTACTGTTACAAGAGCACCTTCTACTGCCTGGGCAATGGCATTGTGTTAGGAATGCTAAATCTCATTTAGCATTTACATCATTTACAGGTCCCTCTGAACCTTCAGTCTCGTCAGTGCCTTCCTAAAAAGTTTTAAAGGATGATTTCATGTATAGCATGGCAAAGGAAATTATGTAGATTTCAGACTACTTGTATTTTTAGAAATAAAGATTCTTTGAGCTTCAATTCAAAATCTCATATATTTCCGTGCTTATACTCCCTGATCCATACAGCTGCTTTCCCCGCTTTGTCACAGATTGTACTTATGTGAAACTTCTAGGTCCTGCTTCAGTTCACCAAGTATAGCTGTTAGTACTATTTCCAGTTTTGATGGAGTGGGGTATCACATGACTCACAAACCACTTATTAGTAAAGCCGTAATTTTAATTAGAGTATGTTTCCAATGTTTAGGAATATGAATTTTATGTTCTCAAGTAACAACAGTGTCCTGCCAATCTGTGCACTAAAGGAACTCTAAACATTGTTTTGCAAAACTCTACTACAACCATCAAATATATCTAGCCATTACAGATTTATCTGACAGGGAATATCGGAGCTTCCCTCCTCCCCCCTCCCCCCCCTTTCTCTTTTTTGTCCTGTATCCTCTTGATAAATCTGCTTATGTTAATATTGACTATCCTCACCTTATATCTCTTTCAGGGGAAAAATATCCATTCATGAGCTGTACTTAACTATTACATTAAGCAATTCAATTGCAATATGACGCCAGGAAGAAGCCCTGACCTTAATAAACCTCGTGGACACTAAAAGGGATGAGTCAGCAATTGAATGCAAAACAATAGGCTACGGAAATTGTCCATTAAATCATTCAGTGGTGACAATCTTTTGTGTCTTGCAAAAGACTTGTGTACTTCATGTTATTTCTAGCCTTTCCATGAGTTAGGTACCTATTTCTCCGCTAATATCAGGAACCATTGCTACAAAAAATGGTGTACTGTAGGCACTTGTGCTAATGCTTAACACCCTCACTGCTCCCTTAATCACTAAATGATTGCCATTAGGTAAAAGAGAGGCTGCATACTCTTCAAAATCTGTTCAGGTTTTCTACTCTACCTCACAACTCCCTTTTGTCTCATCCTGATGTATTTCCACCTCTGTTCTTGACATTTCCTCTACAAGATCTCTCACATACACACACAAAGCAATTTTCCCCAGTTACACCTGCATTTCCCTTGTAATCTGTTCCTTCAGTGTCCCCTCGCCCAGACAGTGTGACATTTTCCCAGGGGAGACTGATTTCACCCGCCAGGGACTTTAGGGGATGACTTGCTAAGTCTGCAGAGCCTGAGCTCCTTTCTGAAGGGCGCTGGAGGGAATTGCCAGCCAACATTACTGAGCAGCAACTGTAGAAGAAGAAGTTGCCAACATTTAGAAGGGCCCAGCATCCTGAATCAGTAGAAGACTTTATGGGCCACCTCTTGAAGACAGATTCCCACTTATAGGAAATTATACTTCTAAAGATGCTGAATTCCAAATGTTTCTTAAAAAAACCCCACTCAATCTCAGATCCCCCTCTCTGCCAGATAACTTACTCTTTTTTTAAAGATAAAGAATCCTGAAAAATCTAACTCAGGACTCTGTTCCAAATGGTTTCTATTTCAGACATGCTATGCAAAGAACAGCCTACGCAAAAACTCAAAACTAATATGCATGGCCACCTGCAAATAAGTAAAGAAAAGAGATTTTTGCCCTCTTAGAAAATCAGCTTGGGACTGACACTGCAACACATCTATCTGATTCTGATTTTATTCTGCCTTCTTTGAAAGTAAGGCTTCCAGGAGCTGTCCCATGAATATTCTCTCTAACAATGTGCATAAGCATTTGGAGTTTATTGTGTTGTTCAATTAGGATGCAACAAGATAGCCTTGTGTATATACTAGTAATCTCTTTGCATAACAGTGCCCCAGAGCACCTAAGCACTAAATGAGAAGGCTAACAAAATAATTTTCAGAGATGAACATTCAGCAGAAATCTTAGCTTCTCATTTCTGCATAATATTTTCCCTAATCAAAATTCAGCCTGGTTTAGCTTTTCTCCCTTTTCTAAGAACGCCTGGATAATATCAAATGCTTGCACAGTTAGGTTAATTCTGCTCTTGTGTGAGTGAATTCATTTTGACATCATGCTAGACTTGGCATAGGTTTTGGGTACATACCACTGGGGACAGGTGGAATTTCAATAATAACTCTTGTCTCCTTGGTTGTGTTACAAAGCTAACCTGTGGAATCCAAGCAGATGAAGCAAAAGTGTGCTGAGGTAAATTGTATTTCATAGAGATTGATCTTTTTTATTATTGAGCATATATTTTAAATCCTGTAGACACCACCAGATTTACCACTTTTTACATCGTGAATCATACAGAATAGTGATTTGCTTTTGTAACACTTATTTCCTTTGCCAGTTTCTAAAATTATGTTGTAAGAGCCCGGATATAACAAGAATTTTATAGAACATTTGTGGAATAAAAAATTTGAGGAATTACTGCAGTTTGTTTATTTATTTAAAATGAACAGCAGTATAAAGCTAGTTATACTGCACTTCAAATATTTCCCCATATGCTCTTAATAAGTAGTGCCGCTGCACTACACTGGTATGAAATGGATGAAGGTGACCATATGGGGCCATTTCTCACACAAAGGGAAATGGCTGAATAATTTCATTATTTAACTTGACTGCCGTAATTAGCCAAGTTATAACATAGTCATATAATTACTCCAAATATAGACTTTCTGAGACTTCGAAGAGTTTGGCTGGCTGGTCGTAAAAATAGTTTCATTCCCCCCTCCCACACGCAATTTAGCAACATGGGCTAGCGGCTGCTCCGCTCCATCTATTTTTGCCCCTGTGTGTTTGTGCATTGTGTGTTGACAACTGTAGCATGTTTGTACTACAAACCGTGCTTTGAATGAGGGCTTAAATCTGTTCAAGTTTTCTAATGTGAAAGGAATGTTGGCACAGCTAGAGAGAAAAAGAAACCCTTTTAAAAATTTTCCTGCATGAAGAAAGAAACTTTTTCTCCACAGTAAATGTGATGTGAATAGAACAGAAGGACTAATTGTTTTCCTTTTGTTCTGGCACATATGTTGTGAATCGGGTGTGACCATATTTAACTGCAGCATCTATTCAAATTGGTAGCAAATAATTAAGCACTAAATAATAGTTTTATTTGGGAAGGAACTTTTGTACAGCCCTTGCTGTAAATTTCAACACGTACTCCTTGAGCGGAACACTTATCCAGTCACTATGCCTTAAGAGACATGATATATTTAGATATACGCACACGCACTGAGCAGACAACTCAAAGGTAGGTAACCTAAGTGACAGATATGATAACACACTTTCACTGCAGGTTACTGACAGGAGAAAGGCTTTTTTCTCTCTGTCTTTGGTGGAAACAACAAGGAGTCAGAGGTTTAAACAGAAATGAGAGCTGTTTAGGGTAGGCATTTTGAAAAGTCCTTTCTAATTTTAAGGAAAAAGTAGAAGTGTAATAGATTAGCTAGAAAACTACAAAGCCTGCATGACAGATATCTTTAAGGACATACCGTGTAGGTGTGTGTCAGGAATTACCACAGTGCTGTCGATCCTGCCTTGGACAGGAGGATGGGCTGCCTAATCCCCTCAGTTGGATGGAAGTGGGTGTAATGGCAGATTTAAGCATCTTTTTTGTTTCCTCACCAGAAAATGGGTCACAGAAGACCCCTGTACAGGCCCTAACTCTACAGGCCTTTCTGAGACTCGTCTGTGTCAGTGCTCCATGTAGGTTTGAATCTCCTCAGCAGTATGTGTAGCCCTCCCTCACTACTCCCTCTACCCTCTGTGGCTCCCATGCACCTGAATTTGCAGGCAGTCATCGAGAAAGAGCCCAAAGCTGTTCTCCCCTGTGCCATAGTGGTGATGGGCCTGCTCTCCCACCATCAGGAGGGGAAGGATGGGGTACCTATTCTGGATGGATGCTGCTCTAGCCTTTGGCAGGTAATTTTGGGCAAGGGAAGCTGGTCAGAAAATAAAACACTTCCTTCCATCCCTTGTATGTACTGGAAGACAAAGCAGTGTACTAGGAATATCCTTACATATCTGCCCTGGTTTTGTGTTCTTGTCCAGACATCTGCTCTTGCCCACAGCCAGAGAGAGGGATTTGATCCAGGGAGTTGACAGTGCTTCAGGTAAGGCCAGAGACATCTTACCAGGTAGCTGTGCCATGCTACCACCCATCCAGACTGAGGTATGGTCTTATGTGCTATGGGGGTGGCCATGAACATCATGGGTTGCCTCCCCCATGCTGACATGCAGCTACCTGCAGCGCCCACATGCCCATCCCACCACTGCGGTGGAGGACACAGTGTGGCCAGACTCAATGCTCCATGGACAGTGACAGTCCATCAGCAAATGCAGCAGCACTGGGAGGCTCCTGCTGATAGCAGGAAGGGAAGTAATCCTGCACATCGGCTGCTGAGCTCCTGCAAACCTCCAGTCCCTCAAGGCCAAGGGGAAAGCTCGATGCCATGCTGGCCTTCTGCACCAGAGGACATGCAAGGTGCAGGCCTGCACCCCTGCTGTGTACGGCATGAAAGGTGGGTGACCATGTAAGTCTTGCTGGTGGGAATGCAGAGGAAGGGACAAGAGAGTTACCACAACTGGAATTACCACCTGGAGTACTGCATCCAGCTCTGGAGCCCTCAGCACAGGAAAGACATGGACCTGTTAGAGCAGGTTCACAGGAAGGCCATGAAGATGATCAGAGGGATGGAACACCTCCTGCGAAGGCAGGCTGAGGGCGTTGGGATTGTTCAGCCTGGAGAAGATTAGGCTCCAGGAGACCTTATTGCAGCTACTGAAGTACTTAAAGGGAGCTCATAAGAAAGATGGGGACAAATTTTTTGGAAGGGCCTGTTGCGATAGGACAAGGGGTAATAGCTTTAAACTAAAAGAGGGAAGATTTAGATTAGATATAAGGAAGAAATTTTTTACAATGAGGGTGGTGAAACACTGGAACAGGTTGCCCAGAGGGATGGTAGAAGCCCCATCCCTGGAACCATTCAAGGTCAGGCTGGACAGGGCTCTGAGCAATGTGATCTAGTTTGAAGATGTCCCTGCTCATTGCAGGGGAGATTGGGCTAGATGACCTTTAAAAGTCCCTTCCAACCCAAACTATTCTATGATGCGATGATTCTAACTGGCTGCTTCTCCTTGGCTGATAACTACTGAATACTCAGAGACTCTTTAGCCCAACCTTGCCTCTCATGTGACTAAGGACAGGGACAGGATCTGCACTGCGTTCCCACCTGGCATGGCACTGTTCCTCTGGCCATCACTCACTGCATTCAGGGTGAGGAGGAGACCCCCAAGCAGCATCTGTGTAGAGATATCTAGGGGGAGGATGTATGGAGGGAGCTGGGCACATGCACTGGGTGGCAGACAGATGGGCTGTCTTTGATGTACGCAGCAGCCACACAGAAAGGCTGTCCTGCAGCCCACATCTCCAGGGGGACTGGAGCCAGGCTTGCGATATATAACCCTTCTCTGGAGCTATGAGCCAAAGGTCCCAACTCTTCCATAATCCTCAAGCACTACCTTCCCATGCCATCAGCTTTGCAGGTGAAGGGTACAAAATATACAAAAAGCTGCACATCTACCATCTATCTAGTGGTAGATGTGAGTCGCAGGGAGGAGGGATCCCAGAGGACATCCCAGAGGGATGCAGCCTACACCCCAACCCACAGTATCCCCGTCAAAGCCTGGCATGCAGCTGATATGGAGTTTCCAGTTCGGTTTTGTCTAAAGCGATGCCCTTTCACACATGCTGAAACCACCCCAGCAATTGGATAAGCGTGTTTTGAATTCCCCCTACAGCTCCAGAACGAATTGCTAGCATAGATGCAACCTTAACACACGTCAGGTGAGATTCTATTTTAGTCCTCTAAATCTTGTTTTCTATCATACTTCTTATTTTTATTTTTCTTTCTGCGAATTCCTCACCGCAAAATATGCTAAGCAAGATGATATAGTAGGGATAATATGAAATTTATCTGTACTTTTTGGAGCAGGCTGTCAGAAGAAGGAAAACATTACCATTAACAACGAAGAAAAAATATCAACACGAAGATCTCCAGACAAACTGCTATTATTGCAGAGATATTCATTACTTTCATGGCAGGTTTTTTGTGATTTTAAAATGTATTGATTTAATGCACCTTCTTCTTCCTTTATATTTCTTCTTTTCCATGTAATTTGGTGTACACATTTTAACTACACTAAAATAAAATTACGGTTGTAAAGTGAGGCATTCAAAAGTTAAGGAATATAAAATTTAAATTCACTTAGGCAGTTCTAATTTAATCCCCCAACTACATGTATATTTTTGTTGTCTAACTGCATGATCATTTAATGTATTTTCTCAAAGGAAAATGTGTTTTGTTAATCTATTAAAAAGATAGTTATTCTGTCTTCTGCACCTTCTTCCTTGAAAGTATTTTTTGATGAAAATCATCAAGTTGCTGCCATTAATACATAATTATGCATAACCGTCCTTTAGGCAAGGATGTGCAGGGACAGCCAGTGCTATGTTAATTCTGTCGGTGCTAAATGTATGTATGTTACATGTATTTAGTAACCTGAGCTCTTCATTAATATATTCCTTTTCTGCCAGGATAAAAGAAAGAAATCTACGTTGAGATACTGAAACCGTATATTTCATTGGCTGTTTGTCTAAATAGCTTTCCATTTCTAGAAATCTTTTCAAGCTAGCTGCTACTAATCAACAATCAAATATTTGATTCGGGATGTTTGCTTCAGGTACAGGGTATTGAGACAGAGACGGAAAAGGGTGAAAGGGTGACAAACCATGCATAGTTTTTCACTTTTAGTTAAATCATTAATGTTTACTGCCTGTATTGCCGACATTTCTAAAACTATCACTCATATTCCAACATCAGTGTGACATTAGAAAAAATATTTGAAAAAAACAATTTCTAGATAAGCTTCACGTTACTGAAATGTCGTAAGGCCAAAAGAGATATGGAGAGAAAAACCCACTTCAGTTCATCTTATGGATTGGCCAAAACAATGAACTTCTTATACTTGCACATTTTCTTATAGAGTTCTTTCAGTCTCCCTGAAAATAAGTAAAAACCTGCATCTTGGCTGGTAATCTAAGACGAACATCAAGCTGCTTGGTATATTAAAATGGTGTTGCAGGCTATTTGAGATGGAGAGTGCCTATTCCTTCCTTCATTATTCATCCATTCACTCTTCTTTTTTCCCGGCACCCAGGCTGGCTGGCCACCGGAAACATTCAGCCTCTTGTCCCTGGTTATGGCAACCAACTGCCACCTCCAGCATCCACCACTGTCCCCAGAAAACAAGTCCTGAATTCAGCTGAATTCAGCTGTTTTTCTGAACATCTTGCCGCTTAGTGGAGATTTCTGTCTTTACCTCATCGGGCCATGGGGCTTCACAAGACAAACACCCTGTTGGTTCCTGACCTTTTCTCTTTCTTCTTCTCCTCCACTATAAGATATTATGTTTGCACTAAAAACAGACTTTTGACTAACTTCTGAGCTTCTTCTTGTTTTATCTCAGTAAAATCCTCTTAGACCTAGAGAAAAGTGGAATTGTTGGTACTTTTGTATAATGAAAATGTAGTACGGAAACTTCCAATAAAATGTTAACTTTTTAAGGAGTCTAATGGATTCTTGGATGCAGCTTATGTTGCATGCAAATAGTTCAAAGGGAGGGTTTGTAAAGTTATATATAGTGTGTGAAGAAAGATGGCTCTTCTCGTTAAAAAGTGCTTTTGCCATAACAACAGTCCTTATAAAGTAACTGCATTTTGACGCTTTCGATTCTCTTGGGAAAGCCACTCCTTCGCTTGCTCTGTCCCCGTCTGCACAGAGCCAGAAATTACACTGGAAATGAAACATTTAGTAGCTGTTTTATTTCTGTTTCTGGGGTTTTTTGCCTCTCAGGCTGGCAGACCTGGGAATGCCGGGAAGACATTGACATCAACTGTTTATGGGGAAAAAAAATGCCTTACGTCTTTAACTGCTTATCTTCCTAGTTGGTTAAAATACAGACATTCCAGAGCTTCTCATGCAACTTTCCTCAGCCAGAACAGTGCTGGTAGGCAATGTGGGGCCTAGGTTGGTAGAAAACCAAAATGAGAAAGTCACATAGAATAGAAGATGATGGAGGAAGCTCTGCAATTTTAAATTAAATAAGATCTTAACTCCTTAGCAAAACCATTTACAAACATGCCAGTAATGACTAACGATTAAGAACACAATGGGGTTTTTGGGGGTTTGGGTTTTTTCTTTTCCTATTCTAATGGGTGCCCCATTGCCTCTGAGTGAAGAGCAGCCAGCTTCAGAAGACCTGCAGGGAGCCTGTCACTATCCCAGGTGGAACAGGGGCTCCACAGGGAAGCAAACCATGTCAAGCCTGGCCTTGGACTGCTACCAGCATGACGCAGAGCCAGGATGATATTATTCAGCCTGCTGGGGAACTAGTTTTTTTCCTATTCCCCCTGCTATGGAGTGCCGGAGGGGCTCATGGATGGATGGAGAATAAGCACCCTTGCCCAGGTATGACTTCTTATTGCAGTATTAGCAGCAGGATAAATTTCAAATTTATCTTTAAATAAGACATGTCGCACGCAGCTGTCTCTTTGTGAATGGTTTTGGGAGGTGGAGCACAGGCTAGGGCCCGCTACCTTTTCTCTTTCCCCCAGGGCGCCCCATGCGCAGTGCGAGCAGTGCCCTCAGCACACTCATGTGCACCTGAGAGACCCAGCAGGACTGCTTCAAAGTGTAAACGTCTGCACTGTTTACCCTGCCACCGCTGAGTTTGCCCCAAGAAATGCCCCGCTTTATTCCCGTGCCCCACTGAGGGCACGCTGCTCTGCAGTGCCCCGTGCTTCTTTCAAAGTACCACGTGCAAGGCAGGAGGCAGCCTGCACATCAAATAGGTATTTTATAAAGACCGTCCCATATAGCCTGTTTGAGGTTATACAGCTTCTGTTCTACAGGAGGGCAGTCTGCACTATAATAATAGCCTTCTTGGCCTTTAAGGCCATTAATTTGCAAAGAAAAGTGCCTTTGCTTAAATAAATTCTACAGACATTAACTTACATGGCTAAACTATTCTAGGATGTCTTTCTACTCAGACGCCTGGTTTCTTGTTTGTTCATTTTTGGAGGGAAAAGGAAGTTTAGTTAGATCCAAATTTAACAGTAAGACCTTTGACAGCGTGAAGTATTTATGTCTGATTTCAGTCATGGTTTTTGTGTTGCTTCTTTGTTTTTCCAGAACTGCCAGTTCAAACAGCTGTAGAAAGGAGTATCATATCACTTATTTTTCTTCCTATTTGTTTCTATATCTGGAACTCTGATGAAGTTCTTTGTGCTAGGAAAGGCAACTCTGGTTTATATACCGTCATCAGGTGTATAAACAGCACATCCTTAGCACAGACAGAGAAGGAAAAACGGTCTTCAGGAATGAACGCTAACATCAGCATTTACTAGAAAAATCTCATCTTCTAATTATAACTCCATACGTGGCTATTTGTAAGGTCTTAG